CACGAGGAAAATGGGGGTGATTTGAGGGGGGAAATTGAATTTCTTCCAAACAGGTAAGTGAGGCATTGTTTTTGATGTCTTTTTTAAGCTTAATTTAAAGAAATCAATAAGGAGATTGTGGGATTAATAGTTTAGAAGTTATATGGGTTTTTTTATGCAAAAAGTGCAAATTTGTATTTGCACCTATTTACGCATCTGACACAACTATCAATACAAGCTAGTCATTGTATCCTATCTTTGAATCGAATGAGACTATACAAGAGCAAATAGTTTGAAAGTTAAAAAATGTTTTATGTGTAAAATTTTTAATGAACACTTTTTATTTTGCTATTTGGAGGCTACCTGAACACGTGACATATATCTTCAGATGTAATTGTTTCTTCCGAATGAAATAAAATAAAATTCAAATCGATGGGATAAATAACTTTAAAATTGTTTGGAGTTTCTTTATAATAAGCACAATTAAAAAACAGTACTTTTATATTAAAAAAAAATATTACAACTTTTAAAATACCAGTCTTCTTTTTTTTTAATTCTTTCCCCGTCCAATTAAGTGAGAAAAATTACAGCCGAAATAATACCTCACTTGTTTGCATAGCAGTATGGGATGCGTATGTCAGTGTAAGTACAAGAGTAAACTTTTTGTGCACAGAGCCCTTATAAATTCTTAACTATTTATCTTATCAATTCCGTTCTATCTTATCAATTCCTGTTTTGTCTATAAATTCAGCTCAAAGTATTATAGCTTAAAATATTACATCGGAAAAAACACCTTACATGTTCAGGAAGCTCTTATATAAATTAAATATATATTATACAGCAATGTAAAAAGAGTACACTAGTGCATGTCAAAAAAGTATTTATTTTACACAAAAACCCTTTTTACCTCATGCTATTGACTTGTGTACAGTCTCATTGAATTCAACGTGAAAATGTACATAGGAAACTTCTTTAACTAGCAATATCAGTTGCGTAATTTGTACCTTTTCTAAATAAAACCTGCATATCTTCTAAACTATTCATCAGATAGTCTCAAGATTGGTTTCATTCAACTTTGTGCAAAAAAAAGAAAAAAAAATCGTAAGCGATTCCTCAAGTAAAATGCTAAAAGCAAGATTAAATCTTAGAAGCTCAAGTGCTTTCTTTATTACGCCTATTTGGACTCCTTATAATTTGAGTCAAAAATATAAAAGAATAAAAATAGATGCGTTTCTCGAAAGAAAGTCAGTTAGAACGAACCTCTTTTTCTTTTATAGTGGATAACTATTTGAATTTAAAATAATCTAGTGTTGACTGTTTTTTTTTCTTCTAAAGATTGTTGATTGAATTACTTTGATCTGTGCGTTAAAGAAAACAGAAATGTTAGAAGATTTTTCCGAATCATAATAAGCATTTTGCAGGCAGAAAATAAAATTAAGTGCAATACCTATGACGTCAATGATAATAGTGGATGTTAATTTTAATAGTAGGTCGTAATTTAGGGAAATAAGGAAGCATGGTAATGTTGTCAGGAAAATATACAATCATTTGAAAAGCACGGCAAGAATTAAAAAAAAAAAGCAATAGAATTTTTCCTTTGTTGCAAAAAAATGGTTGTACGAGCATTGCTTTCTTTAATTGATGGGTTAAAATTGTAAAAAAGGAAACAATGTTCGTTTTTTTAATATTGATACCAGAAATAAATAAAATGTCTTCCATTTAAGGCTTTTTCATATAATATTAACCACTTAAACAGCAGGAAATTTTTTTTTCCTAATAATAATTCTGATGCAATAGCGGAAGGCTGGTAATTTTGAGTTTGTAATAAACGTACAATTTTTGTATAATTATTTTTAGGATTTTGACTGTGATAAAGAAATTTGTCGTAATAACGGATTTCTAGTAATATGTCGTTATATCAAGACATGTGATTCATGCTTGCAGTAATTTTAAGTGTTGCCATTTAAATCATTGAGAAAGTGCGCAAAAAGACCTTCGGATCAAAAAATATTTTATATATTCTATTTTTCATATTTGTAAATAAAAGTTTTTGTTGTTAATAAAAGATTCTCATGTCCTAAAAAGTTCCAGTTTTCGTTATGAAACGCCCATATTTATTTATTTATTTTAATTTTAAAAATACCGCTGCAAAAATTGAAATTATATAGAGGAAAAATAAAATAGCTGGTCGATACGAATTTCGCACCCGGCTTGCACCGTCCACAGTGCTGACGTAAAAAATCCTCAGTGGTAGGCGGATCACGGGTTAAAGTCCCCTTGCCGTTAGGCTAACCGTGGAAGGTTTTGTGGTTTTCTTCTCCGTGTAACGCACATCCGGGTTAGTTGCATCAAAAAATTCTCCACGAAGGAAAATTTCTCCCAATACTTGATTCAGGAGTTTCCCTGTCTTCTGGATGGGGTTCAAAATGACAAAGCTACAGAGGTGAACATTAGTAGCTGTAAACTCTAAATTGGGTCGGTTGTTCAACGACTGGTATAAAATGAAATACAATTAGTCTATTAATTAGATCGAGGGAAAAACTCTTTCTCACTGTTCAAATGAAGGGAAAAAACAAAAATGTTAATTGATGCATAACTTTGAAGTCAAAAATAGATTAAAAGACGGTATATGGATATTAAAATGTGAGAGAGGGCGTTTAGTTTAGAATATTTAATTAAGTAAAATATTTAAATAAAGGAATAACATAAAAAGATTAAATGAAGCTTTTCATGTTTCATGATCACTGGTTTCTTTAATAGAATTTACAAGAAGCAATTAAAAAGACCGATTAATAGAATTTACAAGAAGCAATTAACAAGACCGATTAATAGAATTTACAAAAAGCAATTAACAAGACCGATTAATAGAACTTACAAGAGGTGATTAACAATTTAATTTACAAGAGGCAATTGGCAAGACTAATTTATAGAATAGGTATTTTTATTTTACCTTTTCATGGAAATAACGATAATTTATAATTTCTTTTAAATTCCTTGTGGTTAATTTTTTATGGAAATCACGAAAATTATAAATACATTACGGATACTGCTAAAACTGGATATTTGTAGTTTATTTACATTTAACTGCACATTACGTTTTGAAACCGTTCAGGAGAGTTTTATACAATTAGAATAGCTATTATATTTTCAAGAAAAATAATTATGTTAGATTCAATTTCATTAAATAAAATGAATTACGCAAAAGAATTTTCAAGATACATATTTTCAACATTAAAATAAATTAAGGTTCTTTTAAAACTGGTTTATAGGTTTAGTACTAATACCTATCAATCCCTAGTTTTAATGTACTAACTATAGAGTGTAATTAGTATGTACCGAGTGCTAGCGTAATTTCGTTCATTAATACAACAATATATTTACAATAAACTTTAAAACTATAAGAATCATTGAAAAATTTAAATTATCTCGTATTTTTAACCACTTCTTTCTATTATTTTTTCACTTTGAACCTTTAATAGCTGAATACGAGACAAATAAAGTGTCGTATTTTTCTACTCATAATAAATTTTTTCTTAACAACCGCCTATAACTGTAAATTTAAAACATATTTAATGAATTTCTCACTTTTTACTTTCTCGGTTATTCCACCGAATCTACAAAGCGCGCCGAGTTTCTGCATGCGCTAAGGAAGATCCTCCGTTTTTCCGCTGTTACTGTTTTCCAAACACGATGGAAGATCATTAAAATATGTCTACTGAATTTTAAAAAAAAAATTCCAACTTTTGTAATTATTATTTTTTTTATGTACGCAGTATTGACACGTAAGTACCCACTTTCCAATCTATTTTTTTTTTGGAGGAAATACTTCAGGAAAAAAAATCATCAGGATTTTTTTTTTTTTTTTTAANCTGGGATTTTTTTTTTTTTTTTAAGTGCGGCACTAATATATTTTTAAATATTCCTCGCTTTAAAATTGTTCCAAATGAAAACGCAGCATTGGTCCAAGGCGAAAGTTGTTTTTCGCTATACCTTGAAGAAAAGTGTTCATTTATTAATTACTGATTGGTTAATTAATACACTTTTAGCAAATATTTTAATAAATACAATTGTATGAATATTTTCATGAAGTTCCAGATAATGAGAGTATGCCCTGCATTGCACTCCTATCTGTTCGACTTTTCTCAAATACAGTCAAACTCCGTTATAGTGAACATGGTTTATAGTGAACTTCCGGATAAAGTGAACGAAGTGTTCGCCCCCGTACCTTGCTATACATATATAGTATTATTTTTTAAGGATATAGTAAACCAAAAGAAGAGAGGAAATTGGATATTAAGAACTTTTCTCTGTTCTCGACTGATGTTTTTTTTCTCTCCATTTTTTGGGTAATTTTGAAATTTCTACATAAAAAACATACACTGATTTTTAAAACCCTCTATTGAGTGAAATGTAGCATAAGTATTTTTTCTTGTTTGCTTCCTCTATCTCAGTTTCCCATCCCGAAATAAGGGCCATCTCTAAATTTTTTGTACGCAAGACGAAGAGTAATAAAAAATAAAAGTTAGCACATTTTTTGTTACTACAAATTGTTTTTTAATCATTTTCATCTTTCTTTTTACGGGTCATTTATTTAAATAATGTGTAATAAAAGGGAGCAGTTCGGAAAAAATTAGTTAAAATTGTTTGCACTACGGATATAGTGAACTCCCGGTTATAGTGAACTGAAATTTCTTCCCCTTGAAGGTTCACTATAGCGGGGTTTGACTGTGATAGTTCTTCGCTTTGCCCCTGATGAAAAGTGTTCCCTTATTAATTATTGGTTGGTTGATTAATGCACTTTTAGCAAATATTTTAATAAATACAATTATGCGAGTATTTTTCGTGAAGTTTCGCATAGTTTTAGATAATGTGAGTATACCCCGCAATCCAATCCTAACTGTTCGACTTTTCTCAAATTAAATTAACTGTTTTTTAAGGCAGTATTTATTTCATTAAATGGTTTTTAAAAATTAATATGTTAAAAGAACACTAAATTGTAACTTTAAAAAAAAAAGAATCACCTTTTCGAGCGGTGAGTAGCCTTCGGAGGTACCTCAGAAATCTCTGGTAAAAGGAGAGGAGTGGCGTGGATTGCAGACGGCGATTTTCTCTCCTGTAGGGGGTTCTTAGGACTCCCTTCTGTAACCCCCTAGTAGCGGCCGCCGGCATCTGCATCTTCCGTCCGAAGTGTGTGACTCTCTTCTCATTTCGCAATCCAAGAGAAGAAAAGGGGTCGCAGCGCCCTCTTCTGGGTCACCTGAACACCCCTCAGAACACACTACTGCGAACTTTATCAGCAGCAATCACGGCCAACATTCGAAGGAACTATCTCAACTGCGAAGTCAAGGGGATGTCCGGCGGCTAAAGTTTGCCGCAAACACACAATTATTTAATAGAACAACGAAATTCAGAGTGTCTGTAACGGACACTCTCCCTTCATGTTTTGTATTCATGTATAAGTTCCGTTCATGTACTCTACGTTCATGTATAAGATCTACGCGAAGATTCGCGCAGTCAACACCAGCAATTGGAAAAATAAAATAAGTTTTAGTTCAAAATAAATCGTAAACTTTTGATAAATAATTATTGAAAATTAACAAATGAGTCCAAACAAAATTAATAAACAGCGTATAGACTAGAAATGAATAGCAGCCTTGATAAACTTTTCATTCGCACTATACTTTCAAAGTAAAGTTAATTAAGTATAAAAAATTTAAAAACCTAGAGGTATCTGTAAACATATATTTTATTTGGCTTTACTCTTTGCACGCTTTGACTTTATATCGTATTGATAAACTTTTTATCAGCACTACTTTCAAGTAAAATTAATTAAGTAAAAAAAATTTCAAAACTTAGAGGTATCTGTACATACAGTGGTGGCTAAAAGTGTGGACACTTTTTGTAAGTTTCATGTTTTTCAACTTTGTGTGCTTGTAGAATATATTAATTTTCACTTAAATACAAACATTTGTGTATCAAATGGAAGGTAATTTAATGTAGAATTTAATAATAAATACAGTATTACAATATCTGTATTACAAAAAAAGTTATGCAATTAATAGTAAGATCTATCTTAGATTTGCATTTTTTTATAGTGATACTTACACAATCAATACTTAGTGGGATAACCCTTAATTTTTAAGACAGCTTCACAGCGTCTTTTCATCGAGTGAACGAGTGTTAGGAGTTCATCTTTTGAAATCACATGGTGCCAAGAATCAATTATAGCTTCACTTAGTTGTCTTTGATTGGATGGACGTTTTTTTCGTACAAGAATTTTCAAACGTCACCACAAATTTTCAATTGGATTGAGATCAGGGCTGTTTCCTGGCCATGGTAATATATCTATGCCTTTATTTTGAAAGCATGCTTTGCATACTTTTGCTGTGTGGCATGGAGCTGAATCCTGCTGAAAAATAAATGGTACGTTGTTGGAGAAGAGATTCCTGATGGAAGGTATCAATTTTGGTTTCAGGGCAGTTTCGATAATAAAGGCAATATATAATAAATAAAGGCATAGGTTCGAAAATAAAGACATAGATATATTACCATGGCCATAAAACAGCCCTGATCTCAATCCAATTGAAAATTTGCGGCGACGTTTGACAATTCTTGTACGAAAAAAACGTCCATCCAATAAAAGACAACTAAGTGAAGCTATAATTGATTCTTGGCACCATGTGATTACAAAAGATGAACTCCTAACACTCGCTCACTCGATGAAAAGACGCTGTGAAGCTGTCTTAAAAATTAAGGGTTATCCTACTAAGTATTGATTGTGTGAGTATCACTTTAAAAAAATGCAAATCAATCTAAGATAGATCTTACTATTAATTGCCTAACTTTTTTTGTAATACAGATATTGTAATACTGTATTTATTATTAAATTCTAAATTAAATTACCTTCAATTTGATATATAAACGTTTGTATTTAAGTGAAATTAATATATTCTACAAGCACACAAAGTTGAAAAACATGAAATTTTTAAAAAGTGTCCACACTTTTGACCACCACTGTATATGTTTTATTTGGCTTTTTTTTCGCCAGCTTTGACTTTAGATCATTTCTTGATATCGTCTTTACATCGTCTTAATAAACTTTTCATTCGCACTATACTTTCAAAGTAAAGTTAATTAAGCATAAAAGATTTAAAAACCTAGAGGTATCTGTAAATATATATTTTATGTGGCTTTACTCTTTGCACACTTTGACTTTATATCACCTTTATATAGTCTTGATAAACTATTCATTCCCACTACTTGCAAAGTAAAATGAATTAAGTATAAAAAATTTAAAAACTTAGAGGTATTATATCTGTAAATATATATTTTATTTGGCTTTTCTCTTTGCACACTTTGACTTTATATCGTATTGATAAACTTTTTATTCGCACTACTTTCAAGTGAAATTAATTAAGTATAAAAAATTTAAAAACTTAGAGGTATCTGTACATATATCTGTACATATGTTTTATTTGGCTTTTCTCTTCGCCAGCTTTGACTTTAGATCATTTCTTGATATCGTCTTTACTTCGTCTTGATAAACTTTTCATTCGCCCTATACTTTCAAAGTAAAGTTAATTAAGCATAAAAGATTTAAAAACCTAGAGGTATCTGTAAATATATATTTTATTTGGCTTTACTCTTTGCACGCTTTGACTTTATATCGTATTGATAAACTTTTTATCAGCACTACTTTCAAGTAAAATTAATTAAGTAAAAAAAAAATTAAAAACTTAGAGATATCTGTACATATATGTTTTATTTAGCTTTTCTCTTCGCCAGCTTTGACTTTAGATCATTTCTTGATATCGTCTTTACATCGTCTTGATAAACTTTTCATTCGCCCTATACTTTCAAAGTAAAGTTAATTAAGCATAAAAGATTTAAAAACCTAGAGGTATCTGTAAATATATATTTTATTTGGCTTTACTCTTTGCACGCTTTGACTTTATATCGTATTGATAAACTTTTTATCAGCACTACTTTCAAGTAAAATTAATTAAGTAAAAAAAAAATTAAAAACTTAGAGATATCTGTACATATATGTTTTATTTAGCTTTTCTCTTCGCCAGCTTTGACTTTAGATCATTTCTTGATATCGTCTTTACATCGTCTTGATAAACTTTTCATTCGCCCTATACTTTCAAAGTAAAGTTAATTAAGCATAAAAGATTTAAAAACCTAGAGGTATCTGTAAATATATATTTTATTTGGCTTTACTCTTTGCACGCTTTGACTTTATATCGTATTGATAAACTTTTTATCAGCACTACTTTCAAGTAAAATTAATTAAGTAAAAAAAAAATTAAAAACTTAGAGATATCTGTACATATATGTTTTATTTAGCTTTTCTCTTCGCCAGCTTTGACTTTAGATCATTTCTTGATATCGTCTTTACATCGTCTTGATAAACTTTTCATTCGCCCTATACTTTCAAAGTAAAGTTAATTAAGCATAAAAGATTTAAAAACCTAGAGGTATCTGTAAATATATATTTTATTTGGCTTTACTCTTTGCACGCTTTGACTTTATATCGTATTGATAAACTTTTTATCAGCACTACTTTCAAGTAAAATTAATTAAGTAAAAAAAAAATTAAAAACTTAGAGATATCTGTACATATATGTTTTATTTAGCTTTTCTCTTCGCCAGCTTTGACTTTAGATCATTTCTTGATATCGTCTTTACATCGTCTTGATAAACTTTTCATTCGCCCTATACTTTCAAAGTAAAGTTAATTAAGCATAAAAGATTTAAAAACCTAGAGGTATCTGTAAATATATATTTTATTTGGCTTTACTCTTTGCACGCTTTGACTTTATATCGTATTGATAAACTTTTTATCAGCACTACTTTCAAGTAAAATTAATTAAGTAAAAAAAAAATTAAAAACTTAGAGATATCTGTACATATATGTTTTATTTAGCTTTTCTCTTCGCCAGCTTTGACTTTAGATCATTTCTTGATATCGTCTTTACATCGTCTTGATAAACTTTTCATTCGCCCTATACTTTCAAAGTAAAGTTAATTAAGCATAAAAGATTTAAAAACCTAGAGGTATCTGTAAATATATATTTTATTTGGCTTTACTCTTTGCACGCTTTGACTTTATATCGTATTGATAAACTTTTTATCAGCACTACTTTCAAGTAAAATTAATTAAGTAAAAAAAAATTTAAAAACTTAGAGGTATCTGTGCATATATGTTTTATTTGGCTTTTCTCTTCGCCAGCTTTGACTTTAGATCATTTCTTGATATCGTTTTACATCGTCTTGATAAACTTTTCATTCGCACTATACTTTCAAAGTAAAGTTAATTAAGCATAAAAGATTAAAAAACCTAGAGGGAATCTGTAAATATATATTTTATTTGGCTTTACTCTTTGCACGCTTTGACTTTATATCGTATTAATAAAATTTTTATTGGCACTACTTTCAAGCAAAATTAATTAAGTATAAAAAATTTGAAAACTTAGAGGCATCTGCATGTATATATTTTATTTGGCTTTTTTCTTTCCACGCTTTGATCATCTTTATATCGTCTCGGATTTGGGCCTTCATCTGCCATATTAAATGCAGTAGAAGTCCGTTATAAGGGTAACTTTCAATTCTCGGTGTATCGAGCTTTTCGTAATAAGCAATAGAATTTTTAAATAAAAAGAGTTTTGCGTCTAATAATGTGCATTCTACGGTAACTTTTGACGTCACTAACCAGATTGAATGTGTATTTTAATAGTTTACAGAGAGGAATGGAAATAAGAGGACATGGTGGATAACGGGTCAACAAAAAAATCCTTTTTTTTTTCTTTGCAGTGTGCCATAAAAAATAAAGATTGTAAGAAGGAAATAAGGTGAAATGATATTAATTTTTTCCTTTTTTTTTATTTACAGTCCCTGGGCCTAATTATTAGACGCACTATAAGTGTCTATGTAAAATCTTGGTGACACTATACAGCTTTATTGTTTTTAACCGGTTTGTACTTGTTTACGTTCGCGTATCAATTGGTTAAATTAGACGATATATAATTTAAATTCGACGATTGAATGAATAAGACGATATATTATATAAATATAGGATATTTATCATCTTGGGGCCAGTAGCACATGTTTTTTTCCTGACTTTCTGATCGATATGCCAACTAGATATTTTAATAAACTTACTTTACACAGGACAGAA